ATTTTTTGAAGCTTTTCCTGCGTCAATTTTATCCTTTCCCATCCACTCCAAAGACATTCAGCAACAAACCGCTCAAGTTCTTAATAAAATGGAGTGTGTCTTTGCCTGTGTTGGGGTTCCTTGGTGTCAATCGATGAACTTTCAAACCACAACCCAGAAAAATGGACTTCACGTATGTGAGCTGTTATCAACCGATAAACATACTCACCCGCAGAACATGATACAAAACAAGACGTTTACGCTTTACAGCATCAAGGTACGTACATACAGTAATTTATCATCGCTTATCTCATAGGTGAATGCTATATATGTAAAATTAACTGTCGTGTTAGGGTATCACAGGAGGTGCAACAGCATTGCACTGACATCTTATTTTTGGGGTCTAGGTCGTGATTCCTCGATTCCTTTTCACATGAGTGAAGCACGTTTCGGGTCTGTCCATTATTAATGCAAAGTTTTTTCTCCATGTTCTCCGGTATTTTCTTTCCCCCGCAAAACCTAATCAAACCTGAGGTTTATTGAAGTTAACGTTGTTGATAAATAACTAGTTGATGTGCTGACGAGGTTAACTGCAAAAACGTTTTTTTTTTTTTTTTTTTTTTTTTTTTTTTTTGTCATCTTACTAGAACCCATGTGCAAAGAAGCCATGTCTGAACGACACTCATTGCATCCTTAATAGCAACAGACAAGACTATCGTTGTGAATCGTACAATAAATCTGGAAACAACGCCATCATTGGTAAGTTTTGCTATTGCATTCAGGTGTTCTTTAAGCGGCACTACACCCCTGGAATAATTTATATATTTGAAGTTCGATTTCTTGAAATATATTTACAAAAAGCATATATTTATTTATTTTATTTTAATTTTTTGCTTTCACCTTGCACCTGTTTAATCAACCATTTTGCCCGTTTTATTCGGGAAAGGGCTGGGGATCAGTGGGGATTTATAGAAAATATTTCCCACTGGGAACAGTAGTGAAATTTCACGGGTTTGTCAACTAGTGAGATATGGTAAAATCATTTATATTTCAAGGAACACCGATAAGACTGGCTGGGACAGAAAAGAGTAACAGGGGACGTTTGGAGGTGTACTACAAGGATCAATGGGGTACTGTATGCGAGAATGGATGGGACAAGCTTGATGCTCTCGTAGCTTGCAGACAGCTTGGGTTCAAAGATTCCGATGGTTTTAGCGTGACTAGGAGAGATCTTAATAGTCCAATATGGATGAGTAAAGTAGCTTGCACAGGAAGCGAAAATAGACTTCAAGACTGTAGTCACGCGGGATGGGGAAGGGTTCATAAATGTACTCATTCAAATGATGTTGTAATTTCATGTTACCGGTAGAAAAGGATGTGTTTCTTTTGCAACAAATAATTAATGCTTTAATAATGTACCTGGATTTTAACTTGTAGTGATTTCGTTTCATTTTTTATGTTTTTCTAGAAGACTTTAAAAGGATAACAATTAAATAACAAGAGTTTTTTTTATTATTACTTTTCTTCATTTATTAATTTTATGGTTGATAAAACGAACAATTATAAAAAACTTTTGCGCTTTTTCATGTAATCCCGTGTACATACTTAAATTATATACTCACACTTGCATTACTTATACTTACATTAAAGATTACACTTGTTCTAGGGATTACTTATAATAATATACCATATATAACTTATACCTGAACAATTCTGTTTCAATCACTTATGCAATTCTAAGAGGCTTTGTAAGGACAATGAAGTAATTAAACCGGGGTGGGTTTTTTTTTCATCGGTCTGTTAAGAAATAAATTGATTTCATAATTCATTTCAACCAAGTCCATTTTATTGCAAAAACGTAATCCACCTTTAACTACAGAAGCCCATATAGGTGACATTGCTGCAAATAATATTGAGCTGTCATAAAAAAAAACTAGTTGCTGCACTGCATGTTAAACGATAACCACTGCACGATCGGTTTGCCGATTATTTGGACTGAGTTTCAGCTTAGCATAATTTTGGAAGATTTCTTAACTAAAACGAATATCTTATACTCATTAATTATTCATGAGCTCATCGACCAACCAGGGTTTCTTATTTATACCACATGCAGTAGTTTGAAACCCCCTTCAAAGTATTCTATCTTTGTAGAAAAAAATCAGGCGATTCAGATAATTAAGCATAAATGGTACAAAATTAATAAACATCTGTAAATTTAAAAAAATACACATAAATAAATAAATAAAAGGTTGAAAGCTGCTTGTTTTCTTTGTTGGTATCAGCCAATTCAATTTAGTTGAAACAAAAGCTTTAGACATACAAGCTCCAAGTTTTAGCCAAAGCCGGATTAAGTTGGATAAGTGACCGCGGTATATCAAAGATAATCGAGTTACCTATGAACTAAAACAAGTTAATGAATTGAATCTAAATAAAGTAAGGGGCGCTGCTATTTTGGTCTGATGATTCTCGATCAGGGAGGTTCGACCACAAGAGAATATAATGTTATTTCATATTCTCTTGTTGACCAGCATTCATCATGACAAACTATCTCAACAACGACAAAGGTTTGCTTTTTGATGCTTTTCCTGAGCCTATTCTGTACTTCCTCATCAACACCAATGAGTTCTGCCTAGAATGGGTGTCACGATGACCCCGAAACAAGGTGTTTTTCTACTGATTGCTTATTAAGTTAATGAAGTTTCTGAAACATAATTTCTTTAGCGGCATCGGTTCTTGTTTTGATTATTGATTTAATTATTCGTTTTTATATTTTCGGGTTTTATTTATCATTATTTTTCGGGGTATTTTTTTTCCTATCTCTATCTATATACACCTACTTGCAAGAACGTTGTCATACGAAAATAGAACATTAGTGATTTAGTGGGATAGGAATTACATTAAAAAACAAATGAAGATCACTGAAGCTGAACTTATTCTTTTGTCTTTTAATGTATTCCTTTCTCACTAAATCATGTTCTAATATCGTATGACAACGTTCTTGCAAGTAGGTGTATATTTGTATTTATTTTTGTTTTATTTTGTCGCGCTTAGCCATAAAGCAGGAGGTAAAACAGCCCTAAAGTCGTATATTTTTAAGGCTATGTTAAACAAACTCCCTGATATAAGATAATAACCTGCTAACAATTGATGGTATTGGTGAGTAGATCATTAAAACATACGTCTGAATAGCTAATTGCTTAATCATTAAGTGTTGGACTTTGCAGCTTTGGTCATTTTTACTTCCTATCCTTCGAGTACGAAGGATCGTTTGTCTTTAGCCATGACTTGGCTGACTGTAGTGCTGATGTTATTTACAATACACTACAGTAAATGTAATGAACAGGATGACCATATGGACAAGCATGAAGAATTCCTGTTTACTGCTTTTCCTGCGTCCATTTTGTCATTTCCCATCCACACCAAAGACATTCAGCAACAAACCACTCAAGTTCCTTATAAAATGGAGTGTGTCTTTGCCTGTGTTGGGGTTCCTTGGTGTCAATCGATGAACTTTCAAACCACAGCCMAGAATAATGGACTTCACGTATGTGAGCTGTTATCAACCGATAAACATACTCACCCGCAGAACATGACACGAAACGACACATTTACTTATTTCAGCATCAAGGTACTAATTTTAAAGCAATTTATTTTCTTTTTAAGCTTTAAGATTTTTTGTCTTTTTTCTTAAACAAAATAACTGCAGATGTATGTCGATCATAAATGATAAGAAAAACAGGTACAAAAACTCAAAGGTCGCATGATTCACTTTAAAAAACATTCGTTGCTCATAGCAACCAATTCGCATGTTATATAAGTAATCTCAACAACTATCAAACTGCTAATTAGTTGAAAGTAGAATCTGTTGGTTACTCTAGTAGGAGGGTGCCAATGGGATTAGAATCTATTCTTTCATATTTAAAACATAACAGTTACGTTACTACAACCAGCAATGCTATACAAGTGAATACATAGCTGGAACACTCGTTGCTATAGCATTAATAATTAATAAATTTTATTAATATTTATTTCATTAATAAGAAATAGATCTCCTCGGCTCGGGTGTGATGTTGTCCCATTTCAGACCGCGTGTCATTCCCTTGAGAATAGTTATATTTTTCGTTATTCAGTTGAGTTGTTTCCATATTCATGTGCCTTCTCATGTGCAGTCGAGCGTCAGCGTTAAACAAATAAAATGGTCTGAAATGGAAAACGTTACGCCCAAGCCGAGGAGGTTTATTCCCAAAGCAGCAGACTCGGAAAGCGTTGATATTTATTAACTTCTATTTTATAAAATTTACAGGATACTTGTGAAGTGAACACTTGTCCTAGGCGAAGTTTTTGTTTCAGCAAAAACAACAGACAAAAAGAATATTCCTGCATTAATTGTAAGTTTAATCATCTAATTTTTGTTATAATTCTTGCACACGCTATAAAAATTTTACAATTAGCCCTTTAACAAAGTTGAAAAAACTGCTCTGCTCTGCTCTGCTCTG